GTCTATTACAAATCGCACATATTGGTCTAAATTGCATGTAGCTCCATTTTTCGGTTCCAAGAAATGATTCCTACAAACTACAAGTCTGATATTTTAAATATATGGTCATAAAACCTTGCAATGAAATCCAATATGTCTAGGTTTAGTGTTCTTTCAACACATACCAATGCGCATGTTGTGTTAAGTATCTGTACATGTTTCATTAGAGTATAATAATACAGTAGAAGTAATTGGCTGCATTAAAAACATCGGTACCATGAACGCAGAAATGTACTCTTGAAAACAAAGAAAAAGACTTTCATATATACTTCTGTATTCAATATGGCTAAATTACGCAGTTTACAACATTCAGTGTGGTCGCTCAATGACAGCATAATTAATAAATTTTCTTTAATTCTTAATGAAGCAATATTTTGCAAACAAAATTTCATATAGATACTAATTTCATCCGCTGAAATGAATAAATGAAGGCTAACTACATTAAATGTTTTTTGCAGTACGTGATAAATGAAAGAAATATTTTTTTAAATTCAATAAAGTATTTTATAGCTGGAGTTTTGACAGTGATAATTTATTATTCAAGCTTACAACTTAATTTTAAAGAACAAAATCTCTTTGAACATACATTTGTATGGGTAAATCCATTAATACATTTGTATGGGTACATCCCATACATTTGTATGGGTAAATCCTGTCTAAATTGTTATTCTTTGTGAGTTATTCTTTGTGACGAATTAAGAAAGGATGGAAAATGTTTCTCTTGTCATATAATGAAGTCGCACTTAAAGCATTTGAACATTTTCTCTTAAAAATAATCCTAGCTGAGGTACAACTGAACTTCAACTTCGTTTTGTCTTCTCGTTGGAAATGTAGACACGTGTCATATTATCAAATAGTTTTCACAATATTTTCTTCTTCCTCCAAACATTTCAATTTTGCTTCATTTTAGATTATGGAAAGCATCTTTTTTTTTTCCTGGGGTATCTCCAGTTTTACATGTCTTACAGCTCCTACTTTTGAGTTTTCTCTTGAAAATACGATTTTTTTGTTTTTATTTTATTTTTAGAACTGTCTTCTAAACCTAATGCCAAATGAAAACGATAATGTTAAAATAATACATTTTCTTTCTTACTCACACTTTTCCCTGTGCTACTCTTAGAGAAATTTGAATTTATAATTGTTAGCTGAATTATATCAAAGCATTAATAATATGTTAATTTTGATTATCTTAATTACTTTTCTAGTTATCTTAATTAAATTTCTTTTGAGATGTCTAACGTATTTAACAACATTTATAACAGGCTAAGACTATATTAGTGGCAAATATAAATTTTTCCTAACAATTTACAACAAGAAAAAAATTAGAGAATATTCTAGGAAATTTGTCATAAAGAAAATTGCTATTCTTCTTTATTTCGCTTTAAAAAGGCAGGTTATCTTCCTATTTTCATTGAAAGAAACGAGAAACAACTATTGTAAAAGCATAGTTATTTGCTTTGTCATAATTCGTTTCATCAGCAGAGAATGACTTAATGTTTAAAAGTACAATTAAGTTCTATCCGAATGGGGAATGTTCTAAATGTCTAAATTACAATTAAGTTCTATCCGAATGGGGTACTACATTTGTCTTCCGAAAACATGATTATTATTTTCTATTTTCATCATTCTTATTCCATGCTTATAAATGATTATAATATGACGACAGCTTTTAATAATTAAGAAAATAGCAGCAATTTTATCATAATTGCACTTAGATAAATTTCAATGTATGACCGATTATGATGACAGGGATTTCGCAAATTAATTAAAATATTCTAAAATGGCAGTTTGTATGCAGTGCAATAGATTCAGATTCAAATATTAATTTATAGCAATCTATAACATACATTAACACAGATTAAGTAAGCATAATTTAATGCTAAAAATATAATTAAAGACTTGTAATGCCGCCTCATCTTAAGCTAAAGAATTCCTACGGAAATACGTTAAATTCTATCCTAGAATACTGATTTTCTTAAAAGTAAAAATGAGAACAAAAAAATCTGCTTTAATTCCACGTGATAATATTTTGCTAAATAATTAAAATACAAGCTCGAGGTCGTTACTCAAATAAAACATTTCCAGAAAACCCACATTGACCTCGCGCACTATTTACTTTTAAACGAACAATGAAGATTTTTTTCTAATCTTGAATTATTTTTTATTAGATGTACATATGAATATACTCAATACAGAAATACAAAAAAGAAAAAAAAATAATTAAATTAAAAAAAAAAAAAAACTGCTAAAATCCATATAATTGGATAGGCGCTAAAAAATTGTAAACGATATAGGTTTCGAGATGCAATGCTATTTGGTGGCTTTAAAAAAATTTTAAATAGGGGTTCTGGAAATTAGCCAAACTGATCGATTCACGGGACAAACTGTAAAATAATGACAAAAGAGATTGAAAGTGAAAACAGACATGTTTTGACTGTCAATACATAGAATCTTAAAGAAGATTAAAAAGATTTGATAGAACTGATAGAAAATTGATCTTTGAACAGTGACGTCAGAATAAAAAGGGGTTATCACTTCTATCGACAGTCGCTGCTAGACGGGACATTACTGAGAAACGAGATTCTGGTAGTACTGATTTAAACGGGATGATTCCTAGACAAAAGAGCCCCGCTGGAAGCGAAGTCCAGCCTAGCTATGGAAACAATGTTGTGGCTAAGCGGGATTTTTTTTAATCCACCCAGAAAAAGCTCGGTTGGAGCTCTATCACGGGTAGAGTCAACCAATTAGATGAAAGTTCTGCTTCTGAAGAGTCACGTAATCCCAATCTAAGCGATAATCAATTACTGTTTGCCGTTCAAGTTTTTGTAGTAAGTGAAAATGGTAACCCAGCAATGTGGGTTTCCTGGAAATGTGCGGTTTCTGAGAATTGTCCCTTTCGACGTCCAGTCCCGCGTAGCCGAAACCTAATGTGATTGGGACCTGAGACATTCTGTGTATAAAGCTGCGGCACGTTTTAGTCATTTTATCATGATACAAACACTGTTACTTTATGTAATAATAAATACGCTGATTATCCATTACACGTATATCACTGATAAAATGTAATAAGAAATTTTCACAGTAATTGTCTGTTTACTACAGTTGCAATTAGCGAATTAAATCAAAATAAACAATTTCAAAAACCCAAGTATTGATTAGCAAAAGAGTGGTAAAACCCTGAACAGGGTCTTCTTCTACATGGGTCCATGTCACTATGAACCGAGTGGCTGCATGTTTGGTCCAGTAGGAAACTTCTTTTAAGAAATCCTTCCTTTCTTTTTAAATAAAAGTGACATACAATTTTCACCTGCTTAATTTTATTCTGAACTCATTGCCAGCTATGTTCTGATCTTCTTTTTAAATCGATTCTTACATAACGATATAATTTTACCACGTTCTACCTTTTTATTCGATGATACATGATTGAAACTTAAAGTTTCTTTCTTTTTCTTTTACATTCCTTTAATTCTTTCAATATTTTTATTAGTCAAAACAATTTTTAATTAAATCTCAAAAAATGTCCTCTGATTCATTCTCAGAACGAGTCTCCTTGGCTGACGAGGAGAGAATTTTTTCTATTGCTTCGTCAATCGTAAATTCTCTTAGACTTTTGTGAAGGCCCCAGAAGCGGTCGAAGGGTTAAAGAGAGCTGAATAGTTGTAATGCAACCTGGAATCGATTTTAAAATCTTTTATTAGGTAAAAAATTATAAAATTTAATTTTAAAGCCTGCTTTTCGAGATTGAAGAATCAACTATATATTTTTTCCAAAACCAGTTTAGAGTTCAAATAAGTGCCGACAGCAGTGCTATTGAAAACTGATTAAACTTTTGGCATAAAGCTTCGAAATTATCGGTAAATATCAGTACACAAAAAATATCTAATTTTTGGCTCATTTAGAAAAGTATAACGCGAAAAATTAATTTTTAAATCAATGCGAGTTGGAAGTTGAAAACTTAAAAAATATACTGCATTTGGCTACGCAACGCTGTTTCGGAGGTTTCACGAAATTTTATCAGTCGCTAGAAAATTCGCCCCTGACGATCAAAAGCTCCGTTTTTAATTTTTTTTTTTTTTTTTTTTTTTTTTTTTTTTTTTTTTTGTGATTATCTATAGAATAGTAACATTTGACTTTCATTTACTTCTATTTCCTTCTGGATCAGCAGATTCTTAAAAATTTTTTGAGAAAAATCGGAGTTCATTTCAATACTGAAAAAGAATGTAAGAAAAACAATATGGAAAATAAAGAAATGAGAAAGATCGTTCTATGCATGCATTAGAAAATGAGAGTTACAATGATTTGCACACAGTTGGAAAGCATGGAGAAACGTAAGTTTTATTTAATCGGTAATCATGACAGTGTTTCAACTTTTGGACATAAAATGAACTTCATCATTATTTCTGTAAGTCTAATATTGCATACTATTGCATTTAGCATCCATAGCGTCTCTCAAATTCCGTTTATAATCTGAAGAAATAGTATACATTATCCGAAAGTATGTTTTATCAGTTTGAGTGGATTGCATTTTATTCACATTTACGTTTTATTTAAAATTTTAATAGTGACATATAATTTAATACGGAGAAGCTACATATTATATCAATTTCAGATCTTCTTTCCTTCCATTAATAGAATACAATTCTTTACACTAAAGTTATTAAAGTATTGAAATGGATAACAGGCTATGCAATATGGCATAAATATTTTGTAGATATTCCTTGACGAAAACATGTTTTTCTAAAAGAAGCAACACTTTTCCTTCCGCAGATGGAAAAATAGGCTTTCTCGAAATTGTTTCCACGGGTATTACAGGCCAAGTTGAAGTCTAATAATTTTGAAAACAACTTTGGAAGACGAAATAATCGCTATTTGCCGACAGGCGCTTTTTCTCAGGATATTGGAACCGAAACATATTAACTGCACGCAATGGAAATTATTCAGAAAGTAAAATGAAAACTCACCTGATTCGATGGATAGTGAGGTTTATGTATAACGTTCTCGTAGGTGTATTCTTTGCAGTCGCCCAAGCTCTCGTATATCCTTTCAGTTCTGGCATTCGGAGTTAAGTCCACGTACTCTGTAAGGCGATTATGTATTATTTAATTTCAGCAAAATAATTTCGTCGTCCTTATTTGAATATTAAACGTAAGAAGATTATTTTCTTAATACATGGAGTAGCATTTCATTATTTAAGTTTACATCTTTAAACGAATATTTCTCGTAGGTAAGTTTGAACTTGAAATAATGCTACGTCAGGAAGCATTATTTTGCGTTTGAAAGTTTATATACTACACATTAAAATTTTAATAAAATAGCTCAAAATTTCTTCATTTTAAGTCAACGAAACTAGCTCAGTTAATATTAAATTCTTTAAGTTGACATAACTAGCATTACATGTCAATAATTAATCATGTATTACTGTAATATATAAAAGTGCATATTTATACATAAGCAGGCTACAAATGAAAGAAAAGTTGTGCAAAATAGGTAACGCCATTAAGATTCGTCAATGATCTTAATTCAATAAATATCTATTGCTAATTATGCATTTTGCAAACAACATTATAAATTTCAAGCTTTATATACAATCTGTTATATTTTAATCAGAGATTTTCGTACGGCTACTCCATGCATCATGATTTAATTTTTAATTGAGTGGTATTCCAGTACTCGGAAGGTCGTCAACTTCAGTGTTTACAAGAATGTGTTTTCACTTGCTAATACAAGATATTTTTCTTCATTTCCGCTTCTATAGGTATATAGAATATAGTTTCGGCTCACTATCCCGAAACTCAAAACTGCAGTGAATTCAGGTATGCTATTAGTGATACAAATTGATAAGTATGTTCTGACATGCATTTTACATTAAGTGCTTTAGTAAAAATTTTTGGCAATTTGATGATTAGAGAGAACATAAAAATGTACTGTTATAAGAATGAACATGTAAAAATTCAGGTACATACATAGGTTTGGTTTCATTTAAAGGTTATATTTAGTGGGTTCATATTTAAAGGTTATATTTAGTGGGTTCATTCTATATTTTTGCTAAATCGGAATGAAAAAATGTTCATAATTACGAAATAAATAAGTTAATTAGCATAATATATTGATCAGCACTGGTAAAATTGTTTTATATAATCATTAGTCAGAAAATTGCTTTTAATTATTATTCATCCTAATTGATTTCTATTTTAATAGAGTTTTTATGCAAATAATATCACGTTAAAACTGTACATGATATTAGAAATTTGTTTTTTGTATTTATGTTGAATAAATTTGGCAAGGAATTAAAAAAAATTCAAACATTTTCGGTTATGTAAGGCTAATAAAATTAACGTGATAATTATTACATTTTTGAATTATAGTTGAAACTATTGAATTATTTTCTGAACGAAGTGAATGCGAATCATGAATAAAACAAATTTAAATATTGGTACGGATAATGGTATAAATTTGTGTTGAGTAATGGTATAAGAAATCTTAAATATTGTTGTAATGTGTATAAAAATTAGTTACCGATTAATAAAAGTGAACAGTTATAATAAAATTAATATTTTTAATGTATAAAATCAGGTTAAGAAGAAACATTGTGTATGGCGTAGATTTAAGACTGTATTGATTTCAGGAACGAACATATTTCATTGTTCCTGATGAAGAGAGACCTGTTCGCCCTCTAAAACGATATAGTCTTAGATAAAATTTACTTCACAAGGTTGCTGCTTTGCCTAATTTTATGTCTTGCTCTGGGGTGTTTCACTTCTCTCTTGATGGGTAATGTAATTAAAGCGTGAGAGATATTAAAATGCAGTTCCAAATTATGGTAAATGATTGTTATACTTTTGTAATGATTCATCGCATTCTGTTCCAGAGAATATGCTTTGTTAGCCGCTGAATTATTATTTCTTTTACGCTTTCGTTGAAAAAAAAATAAAGGCTGATATTTACATGAATAAACGTAGCACATTTTATAGAATTAATTTACATTTTATGGATGGTGTTAATAGAGCTCTTAAAGGTCAGTTAGTTTATACCAGGAAAGGAGGTCGTTTCAAGCAACTGCTCCAGCACCTCCTGCCCGATAGTGAAATAACACAGCAGTCAGTAAAAGAGGATTTGCCCAGTTTTAGATGGAAAAGTTTAGTTTCAGAAAACTGTAAAGCTTTCAGTTTGTGCAAAATTGTTTGACTGTATACAAACGAAAACAAGGGGAAAAATTTTAAAATAGTTGGATTTCAAAATTTATTTAGGAAAGGGTTTAAAAAATAGTAAAATCCTGCGCTATCGCTTGAAAAGGTAAAATTTAATTTAATAAAGAATATGTAAAATATATATTCTCCCTCTCCCTATATATATATATAGATAGATAAATAGATATTTAATAGAAACAGAGAAGTACTGATGCAGGAACACTGAGACGCAGAAACTCAGAAATACTGATGGCATAGATCCATCTTGAAGAATTTTGAAACGCTAAAATATTGAATCCGACTAAGAAACCTGGCCATCGAAGCGGATTAAATGCCATTTTTATTTAAATTAATATTTGTGATCACAATTTATTTGGTATACAATCGTGCTTATTTCTAGAGCATTTACATTTTGGACACTATTGTGATAGGAAGAGAGCATAGCAAAATGTCGTACAAGTAGCACACAGAGAAAAGCTGAAGTGCACATTTATCCAGTATAGAAGATGGCCAAGGTTAGGGTATTGGTCTGAATCAGAAAAGATTCAGTTCTCAAAATTTTGAGTTGAAGTTCTGAATAAGCTACATCTTCAGACTTACGCAAGCTCTGTGGCATTAGATTAATCTAGAAATGGCGCAGTCAGGATAATCATTACTACTTTGAGAATAAAGAAAATAAATACCTAAATTAAAAATGAGGAATTAAAAGCCTATTGTAAAATTGAATTATAAAGCTGATTTACATAATTTTATCTCACATATATGTATATGTATTAATGTATTTAGTACAAAAAGAATATGTATTATAAATGATGTAATAAATATATATTATAAGGAAAGTAACAGGATTATCCGAATTTTAGAATATATGATTTCGTCTCATTGTATCATTTGGTCCGTATATTTACATTTCTACTTATAACTAACAATAAAAACTGCATGTTATTTTTAATGCAGTTGTAAAAGTTTAAAAATATAGGAGTTTCTTACTATCAGCCAGAAATGCAAAATTGCGAGAAATGAAGAAAACAAATGAAAAATATTAAGAAGGAAACCCATGCGTCTCTAAGAAAGAATACATTCTTATTCTTTTTATGGAAGATGAGTGTTAACGAGTTGTCTTGTCAAGCATTACCTGTTTGAAAATTCTTTGAAAAAATATCCGTTTGCTTGGCTTCAAAGACATTTTCCGATGACGTAGGTATTCTAAAAAAAGGTTTAGAAAAGTAAATATAATTATATTAGCAGGCATAACATTTTCATTTAATATGGTATTTGTATAAAATGTATCTCATTACAAAAGTAAGAGCTCTATGAGCTCTGTTAAAAAATGTTAAAATACTTGAGTAAAAGCACTGCAAAGTGCACTTTGTGAATAATGAAATTGTTATACAGACTAAAATTAAAATATCATTGCATTTAAATAAAGAAAAATATTCTAACAAGAGAAATTGCTTTTGCCAACTATAAGCTATGCGGCGGGTTATACTTTTAAATAAATAAGTAATACATACTCGTAACCTTAATGAACAAACTGAATTCTAGGACAGCATATATTTCTTTTTTACTTTTAAACACGTGATTTCAAGATTTTCAACGGTATTATAAGTGTCTTTAACATAATCTGTTTCGGACATTGAACATTTCTTTGAAATTGATGATATGCAAAATGTAATGATAAATTTTCTAAAATTATTCAGTTAACTATGTAAAATTAAATAACAAAAGGATTGCACATAGTACATACAGTTCACAGATTATGGTATCAAAATTAACTTAGAGATATAGAAAGAAAATTAAAGTATGTGAAGATCTAATGCACTCGATAGTTTAATAAACAAAATTTTTCTTTGCCTGTATAAATTTCAAAAAATTGTATATGCGCTTCGCAAAATTTTAAAAATTTCAGGACAAAATAAAATACACAGCAACTAAAAAAGACAATTTCAGCCCTTTGCCTGTTGTATGTATAATTTTTATATTAGATAAAAGTTTGCAAAATTTTAATCCATAGAAAAATGTCTGCACATCACCTTATTTCATATTCTATTTATATTTCATTTCTTTTAGATGCAGATGAATAGAGTTCTAACATAAAAATATTATTCAGTACTCCACGCAAACTAGTTTTGTTTTGTACATGTTCCTTCATATAAAGCTTCGCTGTTTTCTGAAATCTAATATGCAACCGAATATTTATTCTTTAATTTTTTATATGGTTAATATGACTAATCTGTACTTTTCGAAAATTTCATGGAAGATTATGAACAGTAAAGACTATAACATTTAACATGTATTTTAGATCAAATTTAAGCTCATCATTGGTAAAATATCTATTTTCTATATATCTAATATATATTTATCTATTTTCAAAGAATATGAAATCTACTAAAATTTTAAAATAAAGCGTTCAATAACTCTCTAACACTGAACAAATAAAGCACATATTGAAGGCATATTTTTAATTAAATAAACTGTGACGTTTTAGAAGTTTATGTTTTATATAATCTAATTTGATCCATTTTCTTAATAGTCTTCAAATATAATGTATGCACTCATGTAACACTATGGGAGAAGTAATAATAAAAGTAATCTTTAGGGGAGCTTCTAAAATAAGCCTTTCATATTAATTATTAATGTGCATCGCTTTGTTACAGTGGTGTAGTACATTTACACGTATACGTACATTATACATATTGTTTATTATATACAGTGGCCACAGCAGTCCTTACCCGGCCTTTATTTTCGTTGCTGTTGACTATAATCCTTTATTTTATTCATTTAAAAATAAATTTAAATCATTAATTAGTTCAAATTTTTGATTAGTACATTATATAAAATAAGCGCGCAAACTTCATTACAAATATTATATAAATTTTGTTAGATTTAAATATAATCTCTGAATAATCATGTTATAAAATTATATGAAAGTGAAGTTAATTATAAGTGATAGTCATCAGTATTTTTGCGATCTGCGTGTTGGAGGATTTGGAGTGATTGACGACAATACTTATTGAAGAATCAAAATGCAATTTATTAGCCAGTACTACCCAGGAAATTTCCATAAATACGTTTACAGTCGTCGAAAAACTACGAACAAACATGCTGAAACAACCAGCAACACAGGTAAAACAATCAGCAATCAACCTTTAGTCTACAACGGTGAAGACAGCTTCAAGGCAAAACACTAATGTACAGCTCCCGACTCGGTCGATCACTGTTAGAGCTAAACACACTCAAGATAAAACTCGATGATACACTCGACGATGCACTGACGGGACACTCTAACGATGCACTAACTCGCGATACACTCGACGAAGCACTGACGAGACATTCTCGCGATACACTTATTCGTGATGGACTGCTACTCCGCGTACTAGCAGAGTTTAAATAGCTTTTGGCCTGCCTTCGAGAACATTCTGGGAAAAACCTGTAGAGTTCGTTCTAGAATGTTCTCCATCCGTCTATGGCATATCGCCAATTCTGTCACCAGTTGGACGGTTTCGAAGTCGAGCAACTCTGCTTTCCCTTGTCAGTTTCTGGCAATCCTAAACCAGCTTTACGGGAAAGCTATCTTACCTCAGCTGGGCATTTTGTAACAGTATGAAATATGTAAATATATGTTCATGTATGATGAAGGGATAAATAATAGTATGCTTCACCTATAAGTTACAGTTATCTGTATAAAATATTTAAATATATCTTGCATATTTTCTATTTTCATTCTTCTGTGTTTAAAAATATATTATCAAATTTGTACATGTGTCTGCGTACGTGCCTGTCTGTCTTTTTGTGCATACGAACCTTGTCATTGCTTTTTATTTTTCTTTTAACTTTTATTTAAGTGGGGAAAGAAATGGTAACTTAAAATGTTTTAGTAAGGTTGCTACCTCCTTAAACCTCTTGAAAATCTAATGTTACACTTTTCAGTCATCATCGTAAGTTCTCGCGAATTTTTATCTTCTTTTCTTACGAAAAATATATCATTGTGCGAGTGTAAATAACACGTGACATATGCATAAAAACGGAAGGAACTTTTTATTTTTTGTTAAACTGAAGTTAGAAAAATGAAACATGTATACTATCAAATTACATAGAAATTCAAATAATTGCCATCGAATTGCAGTCGCAAAAATTACTTAAGAATTCTTTTTATTACAATAATAAAATGCAAAAATGTTGAATAAGAAATTTTCACTTTTTGAAGAATGTCTGAAATTGCACTTATGATTTTAAATAATTTTTAGAATGAATTTGAACATATTGGCTGCACAAGACTTATCTCAGTACAACGGATTTCTCAAAGTTGAGAAAATACATTTTATATCGATTTTATTTAATTTCTGGGCGAAATTTGTTTAATATTAAAAACGTTAAAATGACTTTTTATGCTTAATTTTTATTTTATTCTATTTTTTACGGATGCTTCTTCTGTTAAATTAAAAAAAAAAAAATGCGACTGCATAAACATTTATCTAAATCATAATTGGATATATCAAACATAGAAATTGGATTTTTTTTTGGTAAATTTCTTTAGATGGTATCTTTAATTAATGATACTGGAAATAATATTATTCTCTCTATTAGTATTATTTCGAATGGTTGCGCGAATAGACTGCTAAGAATTTTTTATGTCCACCTTGTATACTCTGGCCGTAATTTCAAAAAATATTGATTAGTTTTTCTATTGATGTATAGTAGCCATCTTAACACGCGAATTAAGCATTAAAATTAGATTGAAATGATTTTTTTATTTTTGACAAATTATATTTTTATTATTACTAAAATCTATAATATAGCCTGGCATTTATACCAGAATTTTCTTTAAAATGGTTTTTAAAATATTCAATTGGCAACAAAGTGTCCTTTGTTTAACGTACGTAAAACTAGGCAAACAAACAATCAAGGTCAGTTAATGAATTCTACACATTAGAAGAAAGAATGAGAAGACAAGCTAAAGTGAAAGAAGTATTAAATTATACGCAAGTAAGGTGTATTCTGTTAAGAAATATAATTTTTCTAATTCTTATTACAAACGTAATTACTATCATATAAGTCTAGTATGTAAAATAATTCAAGCAAATTTTAAAATGTAGTATTTATTGGTATAACTGTCATTCTTAAAGAATATCAAAAAAGTTTAAAGTGTAATTTTAAGACAGTTTATGTCAAATATTTTGCGCCTACATATGTTCTTCAGTTTTTGAAAAGAGGATGTTACATCAAGATGATAGTTTTATCTTTTAATGAGATTTATTAAGTTTAAGAGATTTTTAAATGTATCTTAATGTTTATTTATGACATAGCCATTTTTTTAATTGTAAAAATCGGGATCTCGATGACTTGCATTTACGTCATTATATGCTTTTTTCTGTAACCATAAACGACTTATTGTGGCAACAAACGGATCAGCTATGAAACCCAAAGCTGTTCGAAAGGTGTTCTTTGAGATTGATGAGACCTTTCAAGCCTTAGCAAACAAAACGCCAAGCGTTCCATGTAACGCAATTTATTTTATTTTTGAAACTTTAAAGTTTGAGCACTAATTGCCATTATCCGATTAATTGGAAATATTCAAAAGCAAAAATAAAGTACAGAATGTTCTTAGCTTTCGAAGTTCTATTTTTCCGCAAGAGTTGTCGAATATATTACAGGCCACTAAAAGAACTTAGCTGAAGAATGCAGAAAGAAAACTGTTGGAAGTCTGACATGATGAGATTTATCAGCTAGCTCTGATGAACACCCAGTAATTTAACGCTGAAACTCTGTGATGTTCACGGTAAGTTGTTTCTTTAAACAAGGACAGAAAAATAGCCAGTTTTCTACACATATATTTTGAATCAAAGTAACTATAACTTACATGCTGTTGATCGAAAATTGCTTCGGTGTTTGGAAATGTTTATGTGGATGAAGGAGAGATTTTAATCCAAATTTTACCAGGAATTGATTACAGAAATTTCTTCAACTATTTCAATTGCTCTTCATTTCCTCTTTTACAAATAACAATAATGCATATTGATATGTAAATATCTGTCATTAAGTTGTATTAATCTCACAATTTCTTCTTCAGTTCTCAATCTTGCAATTATCTTATTTCCCACTATGAATAAATACATTATGACACAGATAATTACATATTTTCACACAATAATTAGTGAATTTAATTATTCAGAGTTTTGATGCCGGCATATACTTTCATTTTAAGA